CTTTGGACGGTCAGTCAAAATAAACTGGAACACTAACAGAAGTACAGAGGGTTGAATCACCAGATATCAGCACTGGTCTTAAAAAGCCTGCATCAGTCAGCTGTAAACGTCAGACTCTGAGGTGAAGCGAGATATTGCTGGGCACAGATTTGTGTGAGTGGTATTTATTAGGACATGTTTACACAAACAGACATAAGGTGCTGTCTAACATCTGATTACCTGGCCTGTGGTACCACAGCCTCATCAAAGACCTTATTACCATCACTGGTAACTCAAACAGGTGGAGCTCAGTCTTTCCTGTAGTCTGATGTCAAGCTTGCATCACATGATCTGATGCAACAGCAGAGTAAATCAGCTGTGATCATGGCGGCCTCCAGCTGTAGTCCTGTGCCTGCCTGTCTTTTGATGAACGGCACGTCCATGACTGTTGACTGTGTTGCTGGTTCCTCTCAGCAAAGTGACAGAGCAGAGAACTCATTCAGCCTCACGAGCTCTCTGCTCATATCAACGTCTCGACACCAAACAAGGAGCTTTGCACACAGTGACGGAGGTTTAACAGGTTTAGTGCCAGACTTACCGATGTGTTCGTTACTAACCGTTGGTTTTACAAAGACAGTGGAGCAACAAGACTGTGCATCTGAGATTTTTGCATTTCTCAAAATAGAAGGAGGAAAAGATTCAAATGAACCAAGCAAACTGATAATTGTGCTGATGACATGGCTGTAGTTACTGCTGCATGGAGGAAGTGAGTGGGACATTTGAATCCACGCTGAGGCACAATATGTGGGGTCTGTCCATAATGCCTTTGTTTCCCAGAATAGCAGACATTTTCAAGACCTGTGGGTGGAGTCCAGAGACGGGCTCGTAGCTCCACAGTGTCTTCCTCCAAATGATCTGTTGATGATGCTTACATCTGATATCCATGGAACGAGACACTGGATCAAACAGACGAGTCTGCACTGCGTGAGCGAGCAGAATGAATCCACGTTACTAGAAAGTGACTGAAAACACGGCGTCAGACGCCACATTAACAATCACGTCTGAGGGGAATAACCTCTCACCCTCTAATCATTCAGTCTCTGCGGTGAGCCTCTGACAGCTCATCTCTGACAGGAAGTGGTCACAGCGCTGACATCACGCAGCGCTGAATTAAAACAACAGACTGAGAGAAGCTGCGTCACATGACAGCCAGTGTTTTATTGAGTATTCGATGAGTATGTATGTTCTCACAAGGCATTAAGTGTACAGCAAACTAAGCACTATTGTCATACATGATGATGGGCTCACTCCATGCCACAGTTCTGCCTGAACAGAAATACCGGGACTACATGTCCACTACATGAACACGTGTCCTGATGCCATGCACTAATATCGACCATGAGCTGGAAACACAAACAAAATGAAACGCACTCACTCAGTATGAACATTTTTACATCACATGAAACGGGAGGAATTCATCACACACGCGTTTAGATAAAGAGAAGGACACGCGTGGCAACAATGTTATAAACAATGCCACAACAATAAGAACAACAACATCAACAGAACAATAACAGTATTAAAGCTTTTCATGACCATATCAACATTCAGTGTATTGGAAAATACAATCCCAATAGACTCTTTGTATAAAAAAGAAGCTTTTCAAGTCAGCATGGAACAAATAACAGTTTGTATCTCGGGGGTCGGGGGGTGGATGACAGGGGCGGGTGTGCTTCCATAGATTCCAGAAGAGAGGAGGTGTGTGTGTGTGTGT